AAAGTAGGAAGGTTACACTATAAACATGAGTTAAGTATTCAGTGAGTAATGACTGATAATCAACATGATGACATAATATCAAGAAGGTTCAGAAGGCATGTTAAAGTAGGAAGGTTACACTATAAACATGATTAAGTATTCAGTGAGTAATGATTGCTAATCATTATGATGACATAATATCGAGAAGGTTCAGTAGGCATGTTAAAGTAGGAAGTATTCAATGAGTAATCAGTTCAGTTACAGTCAGTTGTTTTGGTGTTATAAAAGTTACTCCATCTATTCTCTTACTCAAACTTGTTGAATTACGTGTTTGCTTACCTATAAATGGTAATTAAGTTAGGCATAAGTATGTCTCACAGTTTACATTGAAACATTGTCTATGTACTTATGCTTACAACCACAAGTAAAGGTAAAGTGTAGCATATGTTAAAAAGAAATAAAGTAATTTGTTAAGTAGACTGGATGCTGCATTATTTTTCTAAAATTATCTAAAAGAACACGCCCAATCGTGGAATATATTACAAAAGAACACACCCAATCATAGAATATGTTACAAAAGAACACACTCAATTGTAGAATATATTACAAAAGAACCCACCCAATTGTAGAATATGTTACAACAAGATACATATAAAGACAGAGAAATTTCCAGTACGTGTGGATCATTTCACATATTCAAAAAAGCTACTTATCATTATAGTGTCAACTACACCAACTTACAACTAACTTTAGTTACCTGAAACATCACTCAACTGTTGTACATCTTATGGTTATACTGTTATAACTAACATTAATTCATGTTAAATAGCACACACTACCTGTTCCTGAGTTACCTGAACATCACTCAACTATTGTACATCTTATGGTTATACTGTTATAACTAACATTAATTCATGTTACATATCACACACTACCCATTCCTGAGTTACCTGAACATCACTCAACTATTGTACATCTTATGGTTATACTGTTATAACTAACATGTTAAATAGCACACACTACCTATTCCTGAGTTACCTGAACATCACTCAACTATTATACATCTTATGGTTATACTGTTATAACTAACATTAATTCATGTTACATATCACACACTACCCATTCCTGAGTTACCTGAATATCACTCAACTATTGTACATCTTATGGTTATACTGTTATAACTAACATTAATTCATGTTACATATCATACACTACCTATTCCTGAGTTACCTGAACATTACTCAACTATTGTACATCTTATGGTTATACTGTTATAACTAACATTAATTCATGTTAAATAGCACATAATACCTATTCCTGAGTTACCTGAACATCACTCAACTGTTGTACATCTTATGGTTATACTGTTATAACTAACATTAATTCATATTACATCTTATGGTTATACTGTTATGATATGTAACATGAATTAATGTTAGTTATACACTACCTATTCCTGAGTTACCTGAACATCACTCAACTATTGTACATCTTATGGTTATACTGTTATAACTAACATTAATTCATATTACATAGCAAACACTACCGATTCTTGAGTTACCTGAAACATCACTAAAACAAAGATTTCATGACAGGGATTTAATATTTAAAAGAAAGAAACTTTCCTCTACTGGGGTGTTCAAAGATATTAATACCCCCCCCCCCTTTGCCCAGGAATTATTTAATTCTAGTTAAATAGATTGGTCAGTTGTTGCCCTATGGAAAATTTGAAGTTTTCAGATTGGTGAATGGAAAGTGAAGAGATGTCTGGAGGGTTCCAGGGCAGAGACAAGATCAAGGTGGATGATGCTGTTGAAGAGAAGAAGCAAAACTACAAACATTCTACAAACCACATCATAAGATACTTCCCTTGATCAGGGTCACTTAGTGGCTGGGATCTGTAAATCCAAGTGCCAAGGCTGGGATCTGTAAATCCAAGTACCAAGGCTGGGATCTGTAAATCCAAGTGCCAAGGCTGGGATCTGTAAATCCAATGACAAGACTGGGATGATCTGTAAATCCAAGTACCAAGGCTGGGATCTGTAAATCCAATGTCAAGGCTAGGATTTGTAAATCCAAGTACCAAGGCTGGGATCTGTAAATCCAAGTACCAAGGCTAGGATCTGTAAATCCAATGCCAAGGCTGAGATCATTAAATCCAAGTGCCATAGAATATGTTGTGGAGGGAAACAGGAGTACCCAAAGAAAACCCACTTTCACAAGACAGGCACCGAATATTTTACCTGTCCTATGCCAAGTGATGAAAAGTAGAAAAACAAGAAATGATTAGTTATGTATAATAAATTTAATTTTGAACTTATACCAGAAATTGTTTTACACGTCTAGGGTGTTTTGGAGGCAAGGTACATGTACAGGGATACTGTTTTATGACGGGTGCTAGTTTGGCAGTTAAAGTGTTCCTTGTTTCCGCTGAATGTTAATATTTGTTAGTCTGTCCTTGAGTAAGGGGATATAACTAACTTTGTGTACATAAGAAATTGGGATAATTTTGGCAGTCTGAGGGCTAATCTTATTGCTGGAGTTGTAGTGATTTGGTGATATTTTGGGGCATATTGTAAGTAACTTGTGAGCTGTATTCTATTAGAGGGCATATATAAGCTTTACAGATTTTTTAGATTTGCATTGGATTTACATCCTTTAGTGTTTTCTGTTAGAAGTTTTAAATTATTAATAATCTTGTTTAAGGATTTGTTGACATTTTTAAAGTGTTGTGTCCAGGTAAGTCAGGTATCAAAGGTTATACTATTATGCTATTAATCAGCACCTTTATTTTATCCAGCTGGGCCTTCTTCTCTGAAAGTGTTGCTTGAAGCTGCTGTCCCTCCATCAGGGTGTTTTCCATCTGACTGACCACTTTTGATGCTTGTTTAATCATTACTAGGAAACTTGACCACAAGTACAGAGCATCTTCCAGGGTAGACTTGGTAGCCATCAACTTTGTCAGAAGATTACTTCTGTTCTCTTGAAGTGTTTGAATGACATCATTGATTGGCTGATGTCCAACAGGAAGTGTTTCGGTCAGGACAATTTGAGCCAGCTCTGCAACTGATTGGATTTTGCCAACCAACTCCTCTTTATTATTGATTAATTCCTTAGAATGACAAGAAATAATTAGTGATGATATAATGCAGTTATATTTTGAAACATATTACAGAATCAAATTTCTGTCTTCAAAATCATGTTTTGCTAATATAATTTTAAATGCTTACTAAAATAAAACAAGAGTATAGTTTTTAATTACTTTTTAAAAAACATGTATAAGTATTTTCATATTCTCCTTTATTTAAGTGTTATACCTAGTATTAAAGCTAAGAAGTCTGACATTTCAAGACTGACTTTACCTGTAACATTGCTAGCTTAGTTTCTAATTCATCCACAGTTCCCTCTGTACCTTCACACAGTTGGAGACGACTCTGAGCTTCAGTGACACGAGACTGGCAGTCTGCAAGCTCATTCTCAAACCTCTGATGGTTACTGACGTACTGTGTCCATTTACTCACTAGATTCTGGATAACAAGAAGTAAACATTCAACAGAAGGGAAGATATCTGATAGTTACTAACATACTGCATACATTTACTCACTAGATTCTGGATTACAAGAAGTAAACATTCAACAGAAGGGAAGATATCTGATGGTTACTAACCTACTGAATCCATTTACTCAGTAGATTCTGGATAACAAGAAGTAAACATTCAACAGAAGGGAAGATATCTTATGGTTACTAACTTACTACATTCATTTACTCACTAGATTCTGGATAACAAGAAGTAAACATTCAACAGAAGGGAAGATATCTGATGGTTACTAACATACTGAATCCATTTACTCAGTAGATTCTGGATAACAAGAAGTAAACATTCAACAGAAGGGAAGATATCTGATAGTTACTAACATACTGCATACATTTACTCAGTAGATTCTGGATAACAAGAAGTAAACATTCAACAGGAGGGAAGATATCTGATGGTTACTAACGTACTGTGTCCATTTACTCACTAGATTCTGGATAACAAGAAGTAAACATTCAACAGGAGGGAAGATATCTGATGGTTACTAACTTACTACATCCATTTACTCACTAGATTCTGGATAACAAGAAGTAAACGTTCAACAGGAGGGAAGATATCTTATGGTTACTAACTTACTACATCCATTTACTCACTAGATTCTGGATAAAAAGACACAAATAATTATATACAATAGATGAGAAGAAATCTAATAGTTGCTAACATACTTTGTCCATTTACTCATTACACTCTGCCTAAAAGGAAAGTAGCAAACAAAGGGAAGTATGCTCTATAATTAAACATATGATAGGCAGGGAAATAGTCGGACACAATAGAAATAATAAGAATAATAGATAACCAATGAAACATTTTATTAGAGTAAAATGTATCATAACCAGACAGAAATACTGCTTCAGGAGTAATTACACAAGAGTTACACAGATGAACAGTGTGATAAAGTAATATTTAAACATAAGTAACACATTTTAATCAGGCCAGATTGCCACAGGAGTAATTACACATGAGTTACACAGATGAACAGTGTGATAAAGTACTATTTAAACATAAGTAACACATTTTAATCAGGCCAGAGTGCCACAGGAGTAATTAAACATTAGTCACTCAGATTGACAGTTTGATAAAGTACTAAATAAATATATATAACACACATTTTAATCAGACCAGAGTGCTAAAGCAGTAATTAATCATGAGTTACACAGATGAACAGTGTGATAAAGTACTATTTAAACATAAGTAACACATTTTAATCAGGCCAGAGTGCCACAGGAGTAATTAAACATTAGTCACTCAGATTGACAGTTTGATAAAGTACTAAATAAATATATATAACACACATTTTAATCAGATCAGAGTGCTAAAGCAGTAATTAATCATGAGTCACACAGATGGACAATTTAATAATGTACTGTTTAAATATAAATTTAATTAGCATTGTTGAACAAAAAGTTTAAATTCAATTACTCATAGGTTCTTCTAAGCAATGAAGCTTAAGTGTGAACTTGTTTGTGAATCCATTACATGCTGAAAACCTTCTTATCATACAACACAAGGATTGGTTTATCCCCAGCTGGCAAAGTTGCAGGCATTGAAATGACTACATGAAGAAAAAGTGAACCCCATCAGTCCACAAAATGTTGTCTAGCTAAGAGTCATCAATTCCCACTAACACCCAGGAAATTTCCAGCCATTCATGTACATCTACTGTTAGCAATTCATCTAATTCTAGGATTAAAGTCATATAGTCTTATTCATGGCTTTCCAGACTATTGACAATGGAAGTCCAATGGCAACTGGGGTAATATGTATCTGTTGGAATATAGTGTTATAGTCTCATGCATGGTTTTAATTACTATTGACAATGGAAGTCCAATGGCAACTAGGTTAATATGTATCTGTTGGAATATAGTATTATGCATGGTTTTAATGACTACTGACAATGGAAGTCCAAAGGAATCTGGTGTATTATGTATCTGTTGGAATATAGTGTTATATTATCATTCATGGTTTTAATGACTATTGACAATGGAAGTCCAATGGAAACTAGGGTAATATGTATCTGTTGCAGTATAGTAATATGCATGACGTTAATGACTATTGACTATTCCTGTCTGTTGATCATGGGAATTTAGTTTGCTTGGCAACTTGACTTGTGATGAGTTTCCTACAACAATTCCTTTTTCAATATCAGTCATTGCCTGTCCAACTTCTACTACAGTTTCAGCTAGTATTGCATGAGAAAAATACAGCTACTGACTGTCAAACTTCCACCACAGTTTCAGCTAGTATTATATAACAACCATACAATCACTGTCTGTCCAGCTTCTACTACAGTTTCAGTGAGTATTTTATGAAAGTTACTGTATGCCAATTTTTTCACTACAGTTTCAGTGAATATTGAGTACTGTATAACAACCATACACTCACTGTCTATCTAGATTCTGCTACAGTTCCACTGTGTATTGTATAACAACCATACATTCACTGTCTATCTAGATTCTGCTACAGTTCCACTGTGTATTGTATAAAAACCATACACTCACTGTCTATCTAGATTCTGCTACAGTTCCACTGTGTATTGTATAACAACCATACATTCACTGTCTATCTAGATTCTGCTACAGTTCCACTGTGTATTGTATAACAACCATACATTCACTGTCTATCTAGATTCTACTACAGTTCCAGTGAGTATTGTATAAAAACCATACACTCACTGTCTATCTAGATTCTACTACAGTTCCAGTGAGTATTATATAAAAACCATACACTCACTGTCTATCTAGATTCTGCTACAGTTCCAGTGAGTATTGTATAACAACCATACACTCACTGTCTATCTAAATTCTACTACAGTTCCAGTGAGTATTATATAAAAACCATACACTCACTGTCTATCTAGATTCTACTACAGTTCCAGTGAGTATTATATAAAAACCATACACTCACTGTCTATCTAGATTCTGCTACAGTTCCAGTGAGTATTGTATAAAAACCATACACTCACTGTCTATCTAGATTCTACTACAGTTCCAGTGAGTATTGTATAAAAACCATACACTCACTGTCTATCTAGATTCTGCTACAGTTTCAGTGAAAATTGTACAACAAACATACACTCACTGTCTATCTAGATTCTGCTACAGTTCCACTGTGTATTGTATAACAACCATACATTCACTGTCTATCTAGATTCTACTACAGTTCCAGTGAGTATTGTATAAAAACCATACACTCACTGTCTATCTAGATTCTGCTACAGTTCCACTGTGTATTGTATAACAACCATACACTCACTGTCTATCTAGATTCTGCTACAGTTCCACTGTGTATTGTATAACAACAATACGCTCACTGTCTATCTAGATTCTGCTATAGTTTCAGTGAAAATTGTACAACAAACATACACTCACTGTTTATCTAGATTCTGCTACAGTTCCACTGTGTATTGTATAACAACTATACACTCACTGTCTATCTAGATTCTACTACAGTTTCAGTGAGTATTGTATAACAACCATACACTCACTGTCTATCCAGTTTTCACTACAGTTTCAGTGAGTATTTTATGACAGTTACTGTATGTCAAACTTTCACCACAGTTTCAGTGAGTATTGTATTTCAACCATTATGAGTTTTATCAGAAGCTCAACATGTTTCTTAATATACTTTTATCAATTTCCAACAAACCTTTTTGTTTGTCACTTTCATGTCAATAGATATAACCTGTTAGTAGACATTTCTAAAAGAATGAACCCTTGTATGTTTGATGTTGGTTTTAGTCCTCAGCAAGCAAATTTCACAGTCATCATCTTATGATGACTACTTTTTGTTTGCTTTAGAACTACCTTTCAAATCATCTTACTAGTTCATCTACCAAATATTGGAATAATTTTAAGCTATGGATGTTAAAATGGGTTAGCTAACTGTAAACATAACTGAGAGATAAGTTATTCAGAAGAACAGATATAATCTAACACTGAATAACTAACTAAAGGTATAGATTGTGTTACAGTAAGCAACAGTCAGAACTAACTTATACAGAAATCAAACAGGCACCTTAACGAGAGAGATGAGTTGCTGGTAACGAATACCAAGCTCACTGAGTTGACTAACACGTCTTGCACTGGATCCTTTATGTAGCTGTTGTATCTTGTCTGTGAGAGCATCTACCTCTAACTCCTTTGCCCTAATCTCCCCTTGCTTGCCCTGAAAACATGTCACAAGGTAAGTTGAACAAATTCATACAAACACATCAATATATTTTCCTGTAGCATTTAAATGAAAATTAAAACGTGGTTTGCATGCTTTTCAAACTCAGGTATATTAAGATTGTAAATTATTTATATAAACTGGCTGTAGCGTTGAGTAAAATATACCAACAAGGAAAGTAAGTTATAGATTTTTAGGAAAAGGTAACTAATTTTAGTTTTATTAATTTAATTCTGTTCTGAAAACAGTGATAGAGAAATTCTAGACTATTTGATAAAACCATCTGAAACTATACTACAGATCATCATAACTCTGCAGACTTGTTGAAACTTTTGAGTTCTTTTCTTTGCTGCTTGGATAATGAAGATGATGTAAATTTTGTTTTTCTTGAAATTAAATATTAGTAATAAGTTACTTGCTTATAATTCAAAACCTTACCTTGAGCTTTTCGAGTTGTTCTCTTTTTTCAGACAATGTTACACACAACGGTATGGTGCTAAGAGATGATTCAGTATCACGTATCCATGATTGAACTTCATCAAGTCGTTCTTCATAGTCCTTCCACTGCCCCAGGAGGCCGAGCAAAAATTCTGTAGTTGTTTTACACATGTCTTGGGTTGTTTTCCACTGTTCCTTCAATGAGTCTAACTCTCCAGAGCCCGATTCTAGAGTGTCAACCAAAACTAGATCAAGTTGTTCCTCAGCAGCTTTTAGCTTTGGTTCTTCTTCTTCAAAAGCAGCCTGAATACCCTAACAAACACAGAAAGTTACCTTTACATTAGGCTTAGGTTTCATACTGAATTTTCCATAAAATATTATTCATCTTTAAGGATTAAAGTTTATTTTGAACTAAGATAGATCTTGATCTGATTAAAATGTTCTTTTAACACTATTTAATTCTTATAAGAGATGGCTAACCTTTAAGCGGTCCAGAGAGCTCTGCAGAGAGATTCTGTCTAATGAGGTTTCCCCACAAGAACTTATTAAAGACTGAGTGTTTTGCAGCCATGTTTCAACTTCTCCAATCATCTTGCTCAGTTGTTCATGTTTAGCTACAATATCTTCATATTTACTGGTGCAAATCTAGAAAACAACCATATTCAGTCTTAACAAATTAATGCATAAATGCATAATCAGATTTATTCTTGAAATTCACTGGAAATATCTTAGATACAACAGATCTCTACTTTCACTAATATATTAGATGTCACACACATCACTACTTTCACTAACACCCGAGACATCACACATCACTACTTTCACTAACACCAGAGACATCACACATCACTACTTTCACTAACACCCGAGACATCACACATCACTACTGTTACGTATCTGCTTGTTTGATAATTTCCGGTATAAATTCTTTCCGAGGAACTTCACAAAACAAGTCCATTTTTGATTAAAACTAGTTTATTCTTTCTCGATACAACTTTGTAATACACAGAATTTCCATAGTCAATATGTCTCTCATCTCTTTACTTAACAACCTTTATAAAACATGCTGTAAATCACAGTGATTCACACACTTTACTTATGATGCCTACTGTTCGCTTGACTCAATTATATATATCTTCAATCTATCTGCATATCTATCTCTTCGCTGGCTTTATTTGCCGAGCTTATATACTAAAAAAGAGGTCGCCTGGCAAACACTCGGACATTTGCGGGGTTCCTCAATAATTCATGATCATTCAAGAAACTCCAGCACGCATGCTCCCAGCGTCGCGAGACTTCCACTGTCGTAACACTACTTTCAATAGCATCTGATATACAACATGTCACTACTTTCACTAACATCGGATATACAACACGTCACTACTCTATCTCAGATACCATAAATCACTAGCTTCACTTTTAGTTCAATAAAACTTTCGATTAAAAAGACACTTTATACATTTTTTCATTCTCCTCTTCCTAAAAGAATTTGAAGTATGGCCAAAGATAATATCAGTTTCTTTATTCACCATTGCTACCACATATAACTTTAGTATATGTCATTATGGTAACAGAAGGTATCTAACCCTTTACTTTAAGGTGAGAGTGGGAAGTGACAAGAGAAGAGACTAAACAGTAACTAAGCCTTTTCCTTCTGTTTGGACAGGAACGTGACAAGAGATAAGGCTGTTCAAATAATAACTTTCCTTATGCAAGAGTGGGAAGTTACAATAAAAAACTTAATTTAAGATTGTTCAATTAAAATCTCACCTGAGCCTTTTCCTTAAGCTGAGAGTGAGAAGTGATAATGGAATTCAAAATCTCATCCACACCCTCATCTCGGTCAGGTAGCGCTTCAGCCTTAATTTGAAGATCTTCAACACTCTGTTGATGGCTGTTAATATCCAGTTGTAGGCCCTGTCCAAAAAGATTCAGTAACTTTCTAAACATACATCACAGCAGTAAATAATATTAGAAATCTTTAAACAATAACAGAACTTTTATTATAGCAATAAACAACAATAGGACTTTTATTACAGCAGTAAACAATACTAGATCTTTTTATCACAGCATTAAATAATATTAGAACTATTTTATTACAGCAGTAAACAGTATCAGAATTCTTTTATTACAACTGTAAATAATATCAAAACCTTTTTATCACAACAATAAACAATATTAAAACTATTTTAGCATGATCTTATAAGATAAAAAACACAAAAGTTTACTCTTTAGCTTACTCTATATGTTTGCAGTTGTCTTTTCTTTTCACTCAAGCTTGTCACAAGCTTCAGAGTGCCCTCTAGCTGTTGTGAAGTGTTTCTTATCCACTGTTGTAGAGCCTGCACTTCGTCTTCATATTCAGACCACAAAAACATAGTAGATTGAAGTGAACGGTCAAGTTTAATAGAACCATCAAAAATTGTGTCAAACACCGTCTGCAGGTTCTGTAACATGGTTTGCGTGGTTTCCCACCCTTCTGGTGATGTTCCTACTTGTAGCTGTTCTCCAAGCTGTACTGTGCTATTGACTAGATTAAGCCCTGTGTTCTTCATTTGAATCAACTCCTATGGGTTGGTAAAAGAAAAAGCTCATAAGAAAACATAGGACAGGAACTACAACCTTTACACCACCATTAGAGTAGAAAGGAAAAAGGTCAAATACTAAAGTTAAGATTATGTCTATCCAATGACTCTGAGGTCAAACATTATAGTTAAGATGATTTCTACCCAGTGTTTGTGAAGGACAAACATTACAGTTGAGATGATTTGTACCTAATGTTTATGTGGTTTTATCTTTCTGTTTGTATGAACATGAATTGGTGTCTACATAGAAACTGACAATCTGGTGCAACACCTAATAAGACTTCATTAAAATAAATACAGGAGTACTTTTGTACATAACAGTGTTAAGAACTAATTTTTTTATTACACCAGAAACAATAAATCTTTAGAAAGAAACAACAATACAATAAAGAATAATTTTAAAAGGTGTATATATATATTTTTTTTCATACAGTTTTTCAGTAGTAACTAAACTTCTGGATAATGGATATTATGAGATATCTTGATATCTATATATTTTCTGGGCAATGGATAATATAAGATACCTGGATAGCAGATATTATGAGATATCTTGATATTATATATTTTCTGGGCAATGGATAATACAAGATTCCTGGATAGCAGATATTATGAGATATCTTGATATCTATATATTTTCTGGGCAATGGATAATATAAGATTCCTGGATAGTAGATATTATGAGATATCTTGATATCTATATATTTTCTGGGCAATTGATAATATAAAATACCTGGATAGCAGATATTATGAGATATCTTGATATCTATATATTTTCTGGGCAATGGATAATATAAGATTCCTGGATAGTAGATATTATGAGATATCTTGATATCTATATATATTTTCTGGGCAATTGATAATATAAAATACCTGGATAACAGATATTATGAGATATCTTGATATCTATATATTTTCTGGACAATGGATAGTATAAGATACCTGGATAGCAGATATTATGAGATATCTTGATATCTATACATTTTATGGAAAACAGATATTGTTAGAAGTACACAACTATTTCATTTAAATTTAATATAAGAAGATCATTTACTTTATATTGTGCGAGCACTAAAGTAAGTTATTTTTAGAAGTGGTAGAAATAACAAGTTTGCTTACACAACTGTTTACAAATCATTTGTTGTGTAGTTCAATTGTTGTGAATTGATGTCAGGCTACTCAAACGTTTTGAATTTCTCTGATTTCTTTAAATGAGTATTGTTACCTCATAATGTCCCATAGTATGTAGAAAGTTCTAGGCCTCAGTTGGGTAACATATATGTATATAGGTGAACAAGTTAATAAAAGAAAATGAAGTTAGTGAGAGTTAAGGTATGACAAAGTTAGTGAAAGACATAGTCAGATAGATATAGAGTGTGTTTGTAAGTTTATCCATAAAGAGTGTATTGTTACGACAGTGGAAGTCACGTGATGCTGGTAACACGTGATGAGTTTCTAGAAGGATCATGAAGGCACGAGTGTTTGCCAGACGCCCTCTATATCGTAACTTTGAATCAGCTGTGTTCCATGAATGCTGCAAGTTGTTTGGCATAAGAAGGACCAGAACAATGCCACATCACCCACAGTTTGATGGGATGGTAGAACAGTACAACTGGACACTTGGGCAGGAATTGGCAAAGTTTTG